ACCTACGGAATACCAAAATTGTTCCGAACAAATTTCTATTTTCGCAGCTTCTGATTTCAGACACGCGCGTTTCTAGTTGCACGAGTATAGCAAAATTCTATTTTGAATCCTTCGAACGTCCAATCACCCAGTTTCGCGCCGAGCGAATCTTTCTCAACCACGGCTGTGCCTCTTTTAATTTGCAGGCGCGCAGGAAGCAACAAAATGCATATTTATTTTTACTGCCTCTCTGCCTGCCTCGTTACTTTGTATATCGCGCGAGAAAGACGTGTGCGCGCGCGCGCTCTCTGTGAGAAAGTGTTTTTCTTGTCTTTGTTGATACTTTTTTTTTCGTTCGTTCGTAAAGCACAAAACTTTCATCGATAAAAATTGTATTTCTGAAATTAATTTTCGTTCGCTCGACATTATTATTCAAAGAAAACCGTCGATCTCGGTATTGACTTTTTCAATGTAGACCGAGCCCGATTTGCCATCTATGATACACGTATTAATCCGAACGAGAACAATTTTCCATTTTCTACCGGCAAAGCTTTTTATTATTACACCTCGCCGTGATAGATCGATCGTTCGTGACTCGATGGCATAAAAGTTCGATGCTCTCTCACTCTTACTCTAGCTAGTTGCGGCTCTCTTACATATAGCCGGCGCGCGTAAATGCACGGTTACCGGGCGCTACCGATCACGTAGTAGGAAAAAAAGAGTGAGAAAGGGCATAGACGAGGCATCGCACGAAATCATTGAAGCGCTTTAAACACAATGCATTACGATTATTTCTTTTTTCCTTCTTTTTCTCTCTCTCTCTCTTCTCATTCACCATCGCTACTATATACTACTACCCTTTGCTCAACCGTGCCCTAGCTATTCTCGGAATCGACGTGCTATATAACACTATATACATCGTTGTTGCAAATGAATTTCCGCGTTCGCTACAACGATCTCGATGCCGCGCGGCCTGTAATTGCCCGATGATTATACAGTTATAAATTAGAAGCGCGAAGTCCGCAGCGGTGCGTATGTATGATACGTATAAAAGACGACGTACATCTCGTCTCATTTTCTGTTTTATCCGCGACTATTTAAACGTGTAAAATGGGTATTACAAAAGAGAGAAAACACGACTTAAAAATCAGAGAAAAAAGAAGCTCATTAACGGATTGTGATCGATGAAGATTTTGGAATCGCTCGTATCACGCGATCCTCCTCTCTCTTCGTGCTTGATATCACCTGCTCGAGCTGGAATCGCGTAATCGTACACACTCCGCACACATACACACAAATCGCATCCGAGTGCAAACCTGCAAAGTGAACTAAATAAGTTGCTAAGTCCATTATGATTGCGAACGAAGTGGAATACGAAAATAGACTGTACGTATGCGCGCGTGCAAGCGTGTATGTGTGTGCGCGTATTTAATAGAATAAGAGCCTACTCTGCTTTACTCTTGATAGTCTGCCTTCGTGCAAAATAGAGAGATAGACGACGACGATCGTCACGCTGCGCGACACAATTGCAGCAGCGATACTCGAATGTTTATCACCGTTATTATTATTTATTTTTTTTGTTGCTCCCACTATACGCGACGCACAGACGTGATAATATTCATTGCTTTATGATAAAAAGCGGGCCGGTATATATGTATTTACATAGACGACGACACTCGCATGTTCTAGTTGCTCTTACCGCATAAACAGTAGAAATGGGGGAAAAAACCACACAACAACGAAGAAAACACACACGTGCCTGGCGTGAAATCGCGCCAATTAACAAACGAAACATATCGAATCAACGAGCTCGCGATAAATTATTACACGCTTAATAAAATCGTCTCGCGTTTGGAAATCGGTAGTGTAGCGCCTTGCATCCGTCATCGCCTCGCGCTCCAATCGTGATGATATATAAATTGCAACAATGATCTGTGTTCTATACGTGCGCGGGACGCCCGCCTCTGCGGTAGGCGTGTGTATATGTGCGCGTATTATGTATCGTGTTCGCGGCGGCCTGCGGCACCGTTGCACAAAGATGCGGAACATCCGCTACTACTTATACAGCCGCTGCTAATTAAATGTAATATACACGCACGATATAGGCAATGTGCCAATCAGCGTATAGGAAACGCAACGATAATATCTCCGCGATTATGAAGTTTTGTCGATGTACATAAACTGACGGAGGCTCGTTCGGTGGCAATGTGACGCGTTGCGCACGATTATCAGCAGATCTCTCGGAAGGATATTATTCGAGGGATCATTCATGCGGGTGCACGACTCGATGTGTGCACTCGTCAACTATAGTACGTTCTTGAAAATCATTTTTTATCGTAGGCTGGATTTCTTTCGAAAAGCATTTTATACCAAAGCTGAAAAATTAGCATAGAGTATTGATCCACGAATAGAATGGATTTCGAGTGCTCTTTAGGCTTTGAAGCCTGCACCTGCTGAAATATATATTTTAAAAAATATCACATAGTTCTCGGTGCACGCAGACACAAGCGTCTTCTTTAACGTATAAAAAGCTCGCCAGCGATCTCGCTTACATGCTGCGGGCCACGCGCACAGCGCAGCAGTTTGATGATTATTAAGTACACACAGACGCGAGGCATTTAAAATTCGTCCTCGTGCGCACAGTAGTAGTAGATAGCTCTTCCTTGGCTCTTTCAAGGATGACATTATACGTGTGCATGTCATGCGGGGTCACACACACACACACACAACGTATAGTATATAAGAGCGTAAAAGCCAAAGAGCTCTTATCCGGCACCTTCTCGCGCGCTTACTATCCTATTCTTCTCCTCGTCTTTCTGCCTCTTCATCTTCGACGCGCGCCAGCGAGAAAATTTTCCCCTTCAAGAATTTCGCTCGGTTATGTACGTTCGTAAGAGGCCAACGCTGAATCGGCGATTTTTTTTTCAAGCGATAGAAAAAATCCTTAGGATTAATGTAAAATTAAACGTCGCTTTGATCGGTAATAAATGTGCGCGGCATCAATTGTCTAATTGTCGCAAGCTATAAGCTGCGGCGAAAAATCAATTATATCTGACTGTGCGCAAACGAGTATATGAATCGGCGATCCCGCTCTAGAAAAACCTTAGTCATCCGCGTGGAGAGATGATGAATAAAAGTCGCATGCTGATCTAATTGCAGAAACATTGTGACGAATGATTTTTCAAGGTTTAATATTTAAAAAATCCTCGCTTTTCCATCCGGCATATTACTTCTATATACCTCACCTCGAATATTTGAGGCTTACAAGTGCGCAGAGATTTTTTTTCATCGATCGCGCCCACACTTACTGTACTAGTCGTCTGAGTAAACATAATTTCGCGCAACCGAAGCTCTCCGACGTAAGACGAAGACGCTTTTTGATCCCTGCGTGTGCATATAATATTTAAGGCGTCTAGAAATATACGGCGAACGTGTAATATATTTTTGAGCGGCGGCTGCTCTTTATTTATAAACGTCGGCGTCGTCGTCGGGCGCGAGAGCGAATAGACACGACGATGATGATGATTGCGTCTTTGCAGACGGTGCGTTTCTTCCTTTTGTTTTTCGCCCTATACGCACACATACACACACGAGCATATTATACATAAGTCGCGGAAGAGCCTCGCGTTGCGTCGGACGTTTTATTTACAGTACACATACATATATCGCGCGCGAGAAAAGCCGTTACGCTTGGCTTATTCTTTTTGGATAGAAAACTGCCTGCGTTACATTTCTCGAGCTCGAGGCCTTAGATAATACTCTCCTTTATCATTGCGCGCATTGTTTTCCACGCACTCGGGAGAAAGCTGCGCGCATACCTAAAAAAACTTATATGCCGCGTTGTGTGTATCAAACGACGAGAGCGTGTGATTCGAAAGTCATTTTTATTTTTGCTAAACGTTGCTGCGTACTTTGCGCTGTATTCCGTGCGCGCCGCCTCGACAATTATTTTTATATTCGTCTTCGACGACAGTTCTTTTTTTTTCGTGCTTTCACGCTCGTTAGGTGTATTTCTATACCTACAGTCTCGGTACGCGCAGCAGTGACCCAGATTAGAGAAATGAATTTTCACTCTCGCTCTCAATTAGCTTTTGAATATAGTTACAACGATTTTAATGTGCGAATTAATGGCCCCCCGTGCACATGTTTCTATACGCGCGGTCGGATTTTTAACTTTATTTGGACTCGGATGCGCGCGGCGCACATAAACACGAGCTAACGAGGGCCTTGTGTAAACACGAATCGTATATTAAGATGAGCGTTGTGAATTATGTGCCTCTTGCATTTTGCCCGCGTGGCCGCGTCTCGGCGAACTTGTAAAAGCTTCGAAATATATACATGTTGTATATAATTGACCGCTTTCATTATACGCGCGCAGGACGGAAGTGACGAAAGCTGCTCTCCAGACGTATAGAAATGTGTATACATTAATGTACACGATATAATATATACCGGCGGCGGCCGTAGGCGCACAGAAAAAAAAGCCATCGCCTCTCGTTGCTGCTGCTGATGCTGATTTCGTCAGATAATAGATTGCAACTGCGTCCGTGAATTCGCATGCGCCGTTATAACCGATTTTCGTTCTCCTTCGCGGTTTGCAGCTACGATTCGAGCGAGCGCAATTTTTTTTGCTCATTTTTTCCTTCTGCTCTTTTTGTGTCTATCGTGGCTGGTTTATTTTCGAAACAAAGAGTTGAAAAAAATATTTCATGGTCTAATTGTATGAAAAATTACGCACACAATCACAAAAAAAAAAAAGAAAATAAGGTCATCTACAATTGACTGAATTCGTTTAATAAATTTAACCGCGGGGCAATTTAATTTCCCTAAATATAAAAGACGCGTATTCAGTGCGCGCGGATGTATTTCATACTCCTCGTCGTCGCAAAATAATAGTTATAACTGGCATTATTGATGTTAAGGCTTGCGATACGTTTAAAATTACAACTTTGACTAGATGGTATCATTATTTTTGCGCCATTACGACATTAATCAGTGTATACGTGTTTTTCGTGTTTCAGGTTTATCACTGGCAGAGTCAGAATGTCAAGGTGTCGGGCGTGGACGACATGGTCCTGCTGCCGAAAGTCAGCGAGGACGCCATCATGGAAAATTTGCGCAAACGCTACATGGACGATTACATATTCGTATCCTTTTTTATCAGAAAACTTCATCGAAAAATTTATATTACCTCTGTAATTTTTCCTTAACGTTATTTTCTACACGAAGACATGCATCGGCCCCGTATTGGTGTCCATCAACCCTTTCAAACAGATGCCGTACTTCGGAGAAAAGGAAATTGAAATTTACCAGGGAGCGGTGAGTCTTCTTAATTTTGCTAATGCACTCGACTCGTAATGTACTCTAACCATGCCTCGTTGGCTCGGCTCGAGAAGCCTGTAACGCTGCAACCTCTCTTGCTCACCGGTCGCGCGCTCGGCGTTGCTGCAGGCGGCGCTCTGCACGAAAGTTGATTCTCATCGAAAAAATAGGCCGAGTAGTTTTACGCTCTCGCGCCTTATTTTTTGATTTTTTTTTTTTTAATAATACGAACGATTAAGGCCAGGTTTACTCATTATTACATGCAAGATAATCATGTGATAATTCGACTGGAATTAGCGCGAAAAAATCCAAATTTAAAGAATTCCTTTTGGGTAGATAAATTTTGTTTTAAGGTGGCTAGTCAGTAATCATAACAATAGTACAGCGAGGCGTATGTCCGTCTCTTTCTCGCATTAGGCAGGCACCCGCTCGCACTATTCGAAATCAGTGATTTTACGCACATTTTGTTTAATTATTCATTAGTTAGGTCGATGAGGGGTAATTTTTAACATACCAATCGAAAGGTAGTGACTTGAAGCATAACATACTCGTTTTTGGTTAAGATCTGTTGTTTACTAAAAAAGTTATGGCGTAAAATGTATGAAATTATGGTGGCCTCCCATAAGAGCCCGTGTTAAATTTGCTATTTTAAACGGCTTCGTTCTCAAAAATTAGTTCGATAACCCATGCTGAAATTTCTACAGCATATCAAGGGTACTTTAAATGACATTTCTGCAAAGTTTCATAAACATCTGTTGTCGACCCATTTTACTGACTAGTCACCTTAAATTTTGTTCATGAATTAATTTCAGAATTACAAATTAATACAAATTCTATTGTAAAACATATTTTTTTATCAATTGCTGTGAAAATCGAAAGATAATTCAGTAGTTCGCGAAGTGTGCTTAAAAGGCAAAAATAGTGAATTCAAATGATCAAAATTGATTTTATTTTTCACAGGCGCCGTACGAAAATCCACCCCACATCTACGGACTCGCCGATGAAATGTACAGAAACATGCTGATCGACAACGAGAGTCAATGCGTAATTATCAGGTAAAGTATCACTCACATTTCGATAAAAAAAAGTAACACATTTAACATAACCCATTGGTACTGTTACATTTGTTTATTACATACAGCTGTTATTCTTTTATTTCCTTAGCGGTGAATCCGGAGCTGGCAAGACAGTCGCGGCGAAGTACATAATGTCGTACATCGCCCGAGTCAGCGGGGGCGGCGATCGCGTGCAGAGAGTTAAGGACGTCATACTCGAGTCGAATCCATTGCTCGAAGCCTTTGGCAACGCCAAGACCGTCAGAAATAACAACAGCAGTCGATTTGTAAGTTTGCTGCCATCACTTTTTTTTCTTTTTTTCATATCCTATATTTACGAAAACTATTTTTTTACAGGGCAAATACGTGGAGATACAATTTCAATCGGGAGGCCAGCCGAGCGGTGGAAAAATATCGAATTTCTTGCTGGAAAAATCGAGAGTCACTTGCCACAATCCTGGCGAACGAAATTTCCACATCTTTTATCAGCTCGTGACGGGTGCCAATTCGCAGATGAAAGGTTGGTTTGGATGAACTTCATCGATATCATACCGAAGAATTATTCGATCGATGCCGATTTTATTCTAATTCCTCATTTATATTGAACAGCTGAATTCGGTTTGGTGGATTTGGACTACTACAACTACTTGAAGAACGGAGGCAATCACAAAGTCGACGGTACAAATGATGCTCGCGATTTTCAAGATACTCTCAAGGGTGACTATAATCTCTTCTATTCACCCGTAATACAACATTTTGAATCATAACTAAACGACGTTTTTTTTGCGTTGAATTTTAGCTCTGAGCGTCATGGGCATGAAAGAAGCAGAAACGACCGATATTTTGAGATTAGTCGCCGGCGTTCTTCACTTAGGAAATATACAATTCAGCGAGAAAGGAAACTACTCGCAAGTCGCCGATAAAGACTGTAAGTGGCTCGCGTTTGATCTTTATACACAATCTTTAACAAATTTTTCTCTCTCGCCGCACACACAGACTTGGACTTTCCTGCTTTTCTGCTTGGCATCTCGCCAGAGCAGCTCTCGCACAAATTGACGTCGCGCGAGTTCGAGTCGAAATGGGGCAGTCAATCGGAGAGCGTCGACGTGACGCTGAACGTCGAGCAGGCCCTCTACGCCAGGGACGCCCTCGCCAAGGACGTCTACGCGAGACTATTTGATCATTTGGTTAAGGTAAAGAGGCTTTTTTTTTCCTTCTTTTTTACAAAATTCCGTCGATCGTATTTACTCAGCTGGTGATTTCATATTTTTCCAGAGGGTAAACACGGCTATGGAAACTACGCAGGAGGCTTTCGAAATCGGCATCTTGGACATTTACGGATTCGAGATATTCGAAAAGAACGGCTTCGAGCAGTTCTGCATCAACTTCGTCAACGAGAAATTGCAGCAGATCTTCATCGAGCTCACGCTCAAGGCGGAACAGGTAAGATAGATGGACAAATACCCACACGCACACCTCTCATTGAAAACGCGAATGATGTTCGCTTCGGTAACATATATGTTTATTTCGTTTTTTTTACATCTTCGGGATTAACATTAGCACTTGCATAAATATATATTTATTCATTATATCATATATAAATCTCGTTTTCATTTGCAAAATTCTCATTAGGTTAGTTGAATTCAGATCGTATATAATAATGTAAATCTATGCGTTCATCACAGCTAAAAGTGTTGGTCCGTATATAACTCAAACATTACGATAGTTACGCTTTTCACGCCCCAGTACAATATTTATCGTAATTATAAACTTAACAAAATCAAAGTAATCTGTAAAATTTATAAATATTCATAGTTTTTTTTTTCTTTTTCATTTTTGCATCGCACCGCAATATATGAGCATTCGAAATACGCCTGTTACTCCTGATACTCTTACATAAACAGCATTTTATCCCCCCAATTATCGTTACATAATTGCAGTTTCGCTTATAAAGGCTATTTACACTCGAGATGTCAATTAGCATACAAGTATATAAAATCGTCGAGTCAAAAATTAATTAAAAGTCAAAATGACGTTTAATGAATTTATCGCGAACAAAGTATCGTGTTATTTTTTCGAAAGAGAATTAGAGGATCGATTCGTTATCCACGTTACAACGAGCACATTGAGATACAATCTGTCGTTTTACTATATACATTTTTATTATTCGAGCTATAACATAATTAACTTAGTCTAATTTATCAAAACAAAAAAAAATTAAAATAAATAAATAAATAATTAAACCAAGACACAAATGGTAGAAATATCTTACATATCACTTATCTTTGTATCTTTGCCTCTCTCGCAATACAATGTCATTACACCTAATTTCGACGGGTCTCGTTTATTTTTTTTTTATTCTCTTTTTGTTGTTTATTCGGGAAATGCGTATCCGGGCAAGATATCGCTTCTTCTCAGCGTGTACCTCTGCACGGGCGTCGTGTGGGCGATCGGCAGCAGGGACGGCACGCGACTCGGCGGCGCGGGTATCTGCTTCGGCAGCTCGCTCGACGTCGTCATCGCGTTCTCCGTCGTCGAGGAGGTCGTCGTGGACGCCGTCGTCGTCGACGTGGTAGTGCTCGTGGGACTGCCGCCGCTGCTGATTACTCGTTGATCGGTGGCCGTTGCCGCGGACGAGCCGTGCAGACGAGCGTCGTACTTCTTCGGCGCTTTCGTCTTCTTTTCCTGCGGAGAGAATGAAAATGTGTTATACTCGCGTTCTACGACTTGTTTTATTAAGAAAATGAAAATTCTCTCACCATGTGATAGGACTGCGTGGCTCTCAGAAAGGCTGCAGGCTCGATTCTCACGGTGACCCGCGAATCGCCGAGATCCTGTCGGAAGTTGCCGCTCTTGCCGCGGAAGTTCACGTAGACCTTGGGCCTGCCGCTCTTGAGATAATACAGCTTCTCGTCGTTGAAATTTTTCGTCGAGCCCTCGAGCCCCGAGGAAGCGGCAGTTTCGTACACGCTGAAATGATGATGCTGTCTCACAACGGGCTCGAAGAGGCGCTGGGCACCGGGCAGGCCGAGTCCGACGTCGCGCACGCCGAGGATCGAGTGGGGCACGACTATGGGATGGGGCAGGGTCTGATTGCTCTCGTCCTCGGTAGTCTCCTCGGTCGGCAGAGTCTGTTGCTGCTGCTGCTGCTGCGATTGAGGCTGATGGGCATCGAGCACTGCCTGGACGAGGCCGTGAAGATCGATGCTGTCGACGTTCTCGGCGTCGCGTAGCTCGATTTCCAGATACCTATGTAGACGAAAAAAGGGATATAATCGCTCGTTGTTTCGCACGAATCGATATTATATCGCACGCGGTGCATAGTATGTAATAGCGATCTCGCGCCGAGGCAATAATTCACACGCGCGACTCCCTTATTATACATACTTATCCCATAAGCTCTAACATTATAGACGCTCGATCGTAGTATAATATTTACGGCGAGCAAAACGACCGGCTTTTACATAAGAGCTGCTGCTGCAGTTACTCCCGCGCGCTTGCTCTATTCAACGCAAAAAAAATAGTATTATGTACCGCATTATATATACCTATAGTCCGGGATATCTGGTTTCTCGACGTTCGTGGAGCCGCCGCTGCTGCTGCCGTACAGAGCTTTCTCGTTGTAATTCAGCTTGCCAGGATCGCTGCTCGACTGTCGATCCTGCTCCTGACTGCTGCCACCGCCGTTGCCGTTGCCGCCGCTCGTCGACTCCGGGATGTAGTTGGGCGAGGACGGGGGTCGCGGCAGCACCACGGCCGGCACGACGAGCCGACCAGCGCAGGCGACGAGCAGGATGAGCGACGCTTGACAACGAAGCGACATGATGATAGAGCTCTATTTTTCTGTCTATCCGCGCCGATGCCGACGATGTGAAAATCTGCGGCAAACAAAGAAGTTTTACGTAATTAGTATATATACGTTATGGACCACGTGCTTATACAGGAGCTGCATATGCATAAAGTATTGGATGTAAATGTGTGTGTGTGTGTGTGTATGTTGGATTTTAATCGAGCCCCTCCCCACACCACCGCGTATAAATTGATCTACATTATAATAATGCGCTATACACGTATGGACTTTCTCCGCTCGATTTTCATGCGCGCTGCAACGTAATGTACCGCTAAATATCGTCACGTATGTATTATTATTATATATACACGAGCGAGAGAAAGAGAGAGAGAGAGAGACGTCATACACAAAGGAAATGCAGCAGCATATGAGCACCACCCAAACAAAAGTATCATACTGACCTAATAAAACAGGCGCGAGTGAAAGTTCATACTATATACACGTACGTATACATACGTGATGATAACTCGGCGCGTCGGATCTCCCGGTGTTCGCTATATTCCGATACGCACAAAAGGTCTCTCGTCTTGCGTAAGCTTATCGGTGTGCATATGTATATAATACACGCTGGATGCTAACAGGTGTTTTTTTTCTCTCTCTCTAACGAGTTTTCGTTTCGTATCATAATGTTATTATTATTGCGCACTTGTGTGCGCGACTGGTTTTTCATTCGTCTCGATCGGTGTCGCCTTTTTTTTCGTCAAGGATGCCATACCAAATTGATTTCTTATACATCAATACGCGGGCTGTGCTCGCACCGAAGGCAAAAAACGAATGAGTTTGTCGTACGGGGATTATGTCATTTTCTGCTAATTACGCCATACGCAGCGTACACACACACACACACACACACACACACACATACCCTATAATTCCTTTTAACGATCCCTCGCGCGCGCTCGTATATAATATACAGAGTGGCGGTGTGGGCATCATCATCCGAGCGGAGAAACTCGCACGTATATATACGAACGCGTGTCGTGCGGCCTTTATGCGCTGTATTATAATATGCATTCATAAACGTATGACCCAAATTTTATATACATAATATATGAATTCAACAATCGCCGAGAAGGAGATCCTCGTCGTCGATCGTCGTCGTCGTCCTCGCGATGAAAGGAAAATCTTCCTGCGGTCCGCGGCTGCTCTTTGCGCAAAATAGGCGCGTGATTAACGATCTTCCTTGCTCCGTACGCAGTGAGAGAGAAGATCGTCGACGAGCGCGTATACGCGTAATATCAATGACGAAATAGGCCCTATCTTTTCGCATAACGAGTATACGAACTTTCGTCATCGCATCGGGGTTATTAAGGATTCGATTTTAGCTGCCTCGATTGCCTTTTCGTTCCTTCTTTCTTTCTTTCTTTTTTTTCCTTTTTACGGGCTTCCTAATGTATGAACATCGCCGCGGCGCGCGCATTATCAACAACAATGGGAAAGTCGTAAATACAGTAGTATCTTGGTGTAATGGCAAGATCAGCCACGTTAATTTCTCGGTTATGCATTCGTAATAATCTCGTATATTTTCTCATTTTCTTCCGGACTTTAAGCCGCCGCCAATTCGTGTTTCTTTTTCCGTATTGTGTTTCGAGGTGTATAATTATCAACGTCTATATGGAGAGTATCGAGGTTAATGAGTTTTGTCTTTTCTCTTTGGGGCTCCGCTGCTGCTACTGGCTAATGCTGATATGCTGATTTGATTTTATGCGGCAGATCGTTGAACAGTAAAATTGTATAATTCTCTCGCGCGGACTCCGCAGTAGCCTCGAAGAAGAAAAGAAGAATATAATAAACTTTATTAAAGGCTAAACTTTTTTTTTCTTCTCTTTTTTTGCTGCTGCTGCTGCTGCTACTGCTGAGAGCTCGTATAATTTTCCTTCCTTGTATACTTTTATATGCGCTATTCGAGAAAGCGCGCCCGAGAGGCACGGACGACTTTTTTTATACGCATTAATAATATTTTTGCTTGTCTAAGCCACGAAAAAAAGTGTATATACGTAGCAATCGATGTAAAAGCGTGCAAAGGATTTTTCGCCATCTCTCTGTTAAATGTATGTATCACATAGCGTTGAGTGCTCACTATCTGCGAAAACGAAACAAAAAAAAAAAAAAGTACAAACAATTATCACAAAAATAATTCGAAAAATCTCGGCTACGCTATGCGAGCTATGCGGCCAGCAGGCACACACATATAGATATATCTCTCTACGCGTGCCGCCGCGGTCTTGCAGCGAAAGCTCATTATAAAAGCGTCTCACACACTTGTGTGAGTGTGTGTGTGTCTGTGTGTGCAACGTGTAAATCCACTTTCGCGTTTTGACCAAAGTCGAACGACGACGACGACGACGACGACGACAAACTAACGCACGAGCTGCCTGCACGTATAAATATAAAGAAAAGTTTTCAATATTGATCGCGCGCATTTCACTCTCGAAATTTATGTCTATTAAACGAAAGTTACGGGCACACTACGCGCTTCTGCTGCTGCTGCATCGTATATGCGGCTTATATATAGAACCTACTCCGCGCGCACGAAGAATTATGCGGTGTCCTTGTGCAATGTACCATAAAGCGCGGCGGCAGCAGCTGATTTATTTCACCACACGATCAGCAGCGAGCGAGCGAGCGAGAAAAAAAACTTGCACCAATCGTGGACTCACGTATTTTTATAGAGAGACTCGAGAAAATTTGGAAAATGCCGCTGCTGTGTGCCCCCTGCATAGACGAGGCGCGCATTACCGAGAAATTATCCAGATTCGATTGATTTCATTTAGATAGATGGATTATATACGGCGAAATGACCGAGGATTTATCGTCGTTTCCTCCGACTCTGCACGCGTTGCAGAGAACAAAAAAATATATATCTGTACAGGCAACAAAAGTGCGCGCAGCTGCTCGACGTGGAAAAGCCGAACGATATTATTATATTTACATCGCGACCGTTATATACACGTCCACCACAGGGTGTGGTTTTCTCTTTTTTCCTCGATCTTGACTCCATACTCGGCGAACGGGTTTTATATTTCTCTCTCTCTCTCTATCTTTCTCTAAAAAGTGCAAGTGCGCACGAGATCGCGCGTAGCGCGTATAATGTAGCATTAAACCTGTGTACGTCTGTGTGCACGTGTGCGCGAGTATATACACACAAGTGTTAAAGTCCAGCTCACGATCGTCGAATGGATGCTGTGTGTATTTTATCGACAACAGCATCGAGAGGTGCACACACACAACAGTATTAATATAACAGAAAGCCGCTGGCGGGGTATAGGCGAGAGAAAACGATATTCAATGGGATTTTGATCTGATATTTCATTTATATATTGTCTGCATCTCTGTATACATACAGCTTGAAATCGTATGTACTCACAAACGCACTTCACCGAATTGGCAATTAATTAATTTAGCGCTGTGTTCGCATATAAAGGTGCATATGGCCAATAGAGTCACTCAACTCGAGGCAAAGGAGCAGAGATCGTGCGCGTTTACAGGATATTACGTACAGAGTGCTTAGATATAATATAGACACGTACGCGAAAAGCACGTGTATACACAACGACGAAACACACATTGATACCAAAAACTAATTTTTCAACCAACTCGTCCTTTTATTTCCATCGTCGATTTCGACGTGGAGCTAAATATAAAAAAAAAACGAGGCTTGGCAAGAGGATCTCTTTATATCCATGCGTATAATACGCGATCTACTTCCATAATGTTTCATTTAAATAACTCATATACATCTCGAATATGATACGAACACACGCGTATCGCAAGCTCGCAAATATTACAATCGCATCGATATAGAATCTCATTCATCATATCTTTCTTCTTCTTCTTTTTTTATACGCGAGCGCGCAAAGTCAAAGAGCTACGCATATTGTATTTTATATTTGTTGTTACAAATATGGATGAGTATTACAGGCAGCATATATCGGCCTTAATATCGCTCGCTATTGCGCCGCCGCCGCCGTCGCTGTTGAAAAAAGGAAAATATTCGCAACTTTCATAACCGCGACCCTGTTACACGTGTATATGCAATATATACCACTCTGTATTTGTATAATACGGTGCTCGCGAAAGCTCATTATGTATGTAAGCTGCGAAGCGAATCGCAGAGTTTGTCGATGTGTGTATGTGTGTGTGTGGATGCGCAGCGAGGAGTAGAGTGTCTCAATAGAACCCCACTCTGTCTTTTATTATGATGATATAGGTACACGTGTTTATGTATACACAACTCGAGAGAGTCAAAGGATAAATTGCACGGATAATTATATGCGTACTCTGCGTCTCGGTGCGCGTCTTTATATTATGTTTGTTTGTTTGCTCGTGCGCGCGCGTCTCTCGTATGGCACGCAGCTTTTGATCGAGACGCGACGTATCGGTACACGCGGTGTATGTATATATAGGTACTTTTATTTATGAGCACTTTGTACCTGGTCCACATGCGATTGATATATGAATCGTTGAAGAAATTCGATTACAAAAGAAACACAACGTCTACGCATACACGTTTTATAGATTTGACACACATATATATTTTCAAACGCATGTAACATATAGGATAGATAAGTGCTTCATACGCAGCCGAGCTTTTACGAGCTCAAATTAATTCTCTCTCTCTCTTTTCCTTCTTAATTTTTTTTTTACTTAATTAAGCTATATTATACGGCTTAAAATCTAGCAAATCGTTTTATAACTCGACACGCGCGTCCAACTCGTAAAAAAAGATCGGCATATCGTACACTTATATATTTATTGTATTATAAAGGATCTCTCCGAAAACCCGTCAAAACCAGCCATGTATCGACCGTTAAAACGAACAAGTACATATATAACGTGTCTATACATGCGAGTAACGTAATAATAATATGCATCGAGAAGAAGATCGTAAATCACGAGATTATATACATACGTATATAAGAAAAACGATTTTCATTCGCGAGTAGTGCGGCCGTTTCTGTGCGGCGGGATCACCTCGCGGAAAAGTACGCCTCGGAGCAACAAGTGCATGTCTGCGCGCGTGTCTGT